AACCCTTTCCAGTCGCCACTTCAAAGACCCGCAGGGCTACCTTGCCATGGTAATGCTATGATTCTCATTTTCCTTAAATATTAACTGCTCCAATGACAGCTGTTTTTGTCTATATTACTTATTGAATACCCTTCATACTTTTTTCCTATACCCTGGGGAGCTATGGCAGACCTCTTTTAAGCCACAATAATAAACTTTTTATTAATTCTGTTTTAAATTATTTTCCTAAGACATCTATACTTACAATTCTCTGACCTAGTCATTGAAGACCAATTCTGATGAACAGAGTTAATTTATCCTGTTTTTCCTCCTCTTACTGCCTGTTTAGGTAACCACATGTAAGCACTTAAAAATAAAAGATATATCCTTCTTCTTCTATAAAATATTTCATCAGAACTCCTGAAGGTCTTTCTTTCTTTTGATATAAGACTGCCATTGAATACATTGCTAAGCTTGAATAGAGGCTAAATGGTTTGGTGAGAATAATTTTTGCAGTGAGGGGAAGGACAGTCAATATTTTCTCAGGAGCTTTTTATCACTGAGCTTCAAGTTCTTAAAAGGTGGAATATTTGGCTAGGTCCTTCTCCATCTCAGCATATTGTTCTTTAAGCCTCTCCATGGCTTTTCTATGTTTCTCATCCACGCCCGCCTGCTTGTTATGTTGTTCTCTCATGAAAGCCTCCCACTGGGTTACACGCTGCTTTTCACTGGCTGGTATATGCTCATTACGAATCTGAGGAAAGAAAATTTGACAATCACATGACATTTTCCAGACAATTATTCTTATATACAAAAGAGAAATAGTAACTTGGTCTTTGGATACTATAACAATCAGCTTGTAAGTTACAATGATAAAATTGCATTATAGTTTCAATATCCAACAGTAATATAACACATTAGAAGAAATTTGTGGCTTATTTTACTACAAGTAAAAAGGAGTATTAATATTTCTGAATTTTCAAAAATGTCTATCTGTAAATGACAAAATCAAACAAAAACCAAGTGAGCTTTAATACCTCTAGTTCCTAACATTTTATTTAAATGCATAATATGTTTGATGATGTTTAAATACATATGCCAAAATAATTATGAGAAATTAAAATGCATGTATTATATTTTTAGACAAGGTCCTCTAGAGAAATAAAACCAGGACACTTATAAATATATATACATATATACATATACATATATATATATGGAATATAACAGCTAATTAGTCCACACAGCAGTACAGAGGGCTCAGTTCAACTCACTTCCATGGAACAGTTAATACACTGGAAGTCCTTCAACTCACAAGTGCTGCTAGGTCCAAGGTCAAGGAAACAGACTGCTGAGTCTTCCCCAGGACAATGTAGGCAGTCACAGGCACCAAACAGCAGACAGGTCACCAACAGTTGGTAGCTCAGGAGCTTAGCAAAGCAGGCCCAGATGGGATATCAAACTCAAGCAAGCCAACATGATCCGACAGCCTCAAGCTCAACCGATGTATATACACCAGTAGCATGGTGAAGCAGGTCTTGAAGGAACCTCAAGCTCAAGTAATATGATCCACAGGTTGGCTATCCCACAGGTAGTGTAGCTCACACGTTGAGGCAGAGAACTAGCTAAAGCAGCCGAATGCTGGTCCAATCACCAAAGAGCAAGAGAGAGGGGTGGGGCATGCCAAGCTATTAATCTCTTTTCCCTCCAATCAAACTGCAATCCTATTAATCCCACAGGTTGGCACAATAAACCTAACTATCACATACATAAAATATTTTTAGACTACATTTTAAAGAATTGTCCATTGTTAATCACTGGCAAGGAATCCTGATGGTTTAGTGGTTAAAGCAAGGTCAGCAGTCCCAAGCCACCAGCTGCTTTACAGGGAGAAAAATGGGCTGTTCTACACCATGATGGTTTTCAGGTTTAGAAAATCACAGGGGCAGTTCTATACCCTGTCCATAGGGCCACTCAGGATTGAATCAATGGCAGTGAGGTTGAGTGCTC